TCTGTCAGTTGTTCCTGCTGCTCCCGGGCTGTGCGTGCTTTCTCTTAGGAGGAGCTGGGACCTGCGGGGACACTTGTGGGGGAACCCCTACCAGTACTCACCAAGCACAGTTGGGAGAACAATGTTCCTGTGGTAAGACTGAGGCAGGAAGTGAGTCAGAGTCCTTCCTCAGGCTGTGAGCAACAGCACCCATTTAGGGGAAGACAGGGCTGGCCCTATCTAGCAAGGGAGTCCCCCCTCAGTGCCCCTCCCAATTGTCCTGTGACCTAAAAGAAAGGTCACCCCAGAATGAAAGCCTCTGTGGTTCCACCCATCCTGGGAGGCTGGCCCAGAGGAGTCTCAGTGGATCTGTGGAAGGGAAGAACCAGCCAACCCTGAAGGCTGTACCCAGGCACGACTGTTTTCTCTTGCCCAGCCTTCCCGCCCGATACTGCTTTGAGCGGGAGGCAGAATCTATACAGGCACCTCACTGAGGAGGAGGGCTATGTGGAGGGACCGAGCAGGTGAGCAGCTGCCCGGATTACCCCGCGGCTGCTTCCACTCTGTTCTGCTCTCGTTTGGAAGTTCTCGTAGATTGCATTTGCAGCAATTCGGCTGACAAGAATCTGGAAGCCTTTCTCAGACTAGTTAGAGGGAGATGCCTTGCCTCTGAAACCAGTCCTGTGGGCAGGTACAGCATCCTCAGCACCCTCTACCCACTGACCTGAAGCCTGAGCATCCGGGAAGCTCAGCTGCCTCTCACACTCAACTCCTGTCCAGTCCCCTCTGGAGACACTTACCTGTTTTACAGAATCCTTCGGATTTGGAGTGACTGGCGTCTAGAGATGGGGGAAGTGGGTCATGGGGGTGGGGGCAGGAAGAGGAAGGGTCGGATCTCTCTGTATCCTTAGATTTGGAGCTGATCCATAACTAACCATAGAGAGCCGTAGAGCTAAAATCCACTCAGTCCCTTTGTCCCCTTGAGGAGCTGTGGGAGTCTTCGCCTTTCGAACCTCCTCCACCCTGAGGCACCCAGAAGCCTTCAGTAGCAGTCCTGGGTTAAGTCACTGTACGCAGCATGTGTGTATAAAGGATGCGTCCTTCCCCAAGGGATGGGAGAGGCTTCTGTTTGCTGTGCTGGCTCGCTCTCTCTCTCTCTCTCTCTCTCTCTCTCTCTCTCTCCCCTTTTTTCTTTTTCTTTCCTTCCTACCTTCCTTCCTTTCTTCTTTCTTTCTTTTCTTACCTGAATCTTCCGTACTGTCTCCATAGCTCCTATAAGACAATAACGAAAGCTCCGAGTCTTACAAAACAGAGTAAAGTGTGCCCATACTTCACCGCCTAGCTCCAGAGAACCCAGGATCCATCCTGACTGCTTCTGCTTCCCTGTTGGCTGCTGGCACTCCGGTGAGGCTCCTGCCACGCCAGGCAGTAACTTTCCAGTTCTGGCTAAACCACTTTGGGAAAAAACCCTTTATATGGCAGGCCGACACGGGTGTCTGTGGGTGGGGGAGGAGCTCCAAGCTAGAAGTGATCTGGCGGTGACATATCTGGTCACGTTGGACCTGGAGCCCGACGTGAGCCGTCCTTCTCCTGTTCATTTATTGGGGTGGGTCTGCACTTGCCTTTTCCCGCTGGCTCCTCTGCATCCCGGCCGCTGGAGGCTTGAATGGCTTCCTTTGGCCAGCTGCAGGTCCTCACCTTCTGTGCCCAATGAGTGATACCCACAATTAGGCACCTAATAAATGCTTTGGGTGCAGCCCTGTTTGCCAGGCATTGGCTGAATACCTGCTGGGTGTCGTGCCCTGGTTCCCTGAGGGCTTGTCCTCAGGAAGCCAGAGCTGCCTCTGACCTGGGACTCAGCAGGGTCCTTCACTTTACCTTTGTGACCTCGCTACTCCAACCAGCCTGCTGCTCCTCCTTCACCTTAACAGCTGGTCACCATCCCCGGACATTGAGCTTCGCCACTGGTTTGTCGTCCCGCGCAGGGGGACGTCCCGTACAGTAGTTCTACACTATTGACGCCTTGGGTCAGCTTCGTCTCTATGGTGTGCACCGACTGGGCGCTGTAGAACATTGGCCACCTTTCTGGTCTCAACACCAGATGCAACTCCCACAGTAATAACACGCCCTAAGTTCCTAGACTTTGTCAATTCCCTCCCAGTGCCAAAATCACTCCCCCCAGGGAAACCTCTGACCCACAGTAAGGTATGGACAGGTCACAAGGTGGAGGTGGCTGTGCCGGTCTGGAGGCATTAGGAGTTTTGGCTGGGAACCGTATGCCCAGATGGCCCTCGGGTGCCAAGCCACCTTGGATGGCAGTATGACGATGGGGTTATTTAGTGTTCAGAGCAAACAATGTTACACATCTTCAGGACATCTGAGGACATCACTTTCAGAATGTTAATGACAAGGTGACTCAGGATCATACTCTATTGACTAAAGTGGGGAAATGGGTGAGACATCTTAGCATTAGACATGTCTTTAGAAAGCAGATCTATGATAGCTTGGGAAGTGGGTAGGGAGGGCAGGAGGAAGCCTCGGTGATGATGGACATGTTCCTTATCTTGATTGTGGTGATATTGTCACGAGTGTGTACATGTGTCAAAACATATTAAGTTGTATGCTTTAAATACATGCAGTTTATAGTATGTTAATTATACGTCAATAAAGCTTATTTTTGGTTGCTTGCAGTTTTAGGGTTTCACAGATTACTCTGAAAATTCACTTAGGGAGTAGCTCATTTTTTGGTTATACTATAAATGAGAGTTACTGTAGTACCGAAATTCACAAATGTCTGGTGTGATGGTCACATTTATAACCCCAGCCCTCAGAGAGGCTGAGGACTGGTGTGGGTTTGAGACCAGCCTGGACTACATAGGAAGACCCTACTAAAATAAAATAAAACTTGCTCATGGTGATGCACATCTGTAATCCCAGCACTTGGGAGGTGGAGGGAGGGGGATCAGGAGTAAAGAGCAGCCTCAGCTACAACCAAGTTGGAGATTAGCCTGGACTACAGCCTGTCTCCAAAACGGGGGGTGTGGCAGGTGGTAGGTTCAGGGGATAACAAGAAAGAGGGGCTAAGAGTGTGGAGAACAGCTGGCTGGGGGGTCATGGAGAAGCTGTTCCTCCGTCCTGCGGCTCAGGAAAGCTTAGTCGGGTCACATGACACCAGACTGACATGTCTGGAGCAGCATTATCAAGGCTTGAGAAATGAAACAATGAATGTAGTGTGGGTAGCCAGGAAAGAAACAGATGATTCTGGAAATGACAGGTTCCTCCACTAACTTTAATCCTTAAACCAAATACTGCAAGGGAAAAAGTCAGCTAATACCTGGGGGAGGGCGGTGCTTTCTCCACAGGGCCGGTGTACCTGGGGGAGCAGAGCCCGGAGCTCCGTGCCAGCCTGCCCCTTACGGGCTGCCGCCCACCTGAGGGGCTACACTCAGCACACGTGCCTGAGAGGCCCAGGAGGAAGGCCTGCGGGTGGCAGACCTCTGCTAGGGGACCAGATTCCTTTGAGCCACTGGAGACTCCAAGGTCTTCAGGAGACCTGAGCAGAGTAAGGGGTTCACTCATCTAACTAACCAGGTTAGTTAGGTTAGTTGCTGTGATAAAACCCTGACCAACAGCTCCTTGGGGGAGAAAACAGCTTGCTTCACCTCGTGCTTTGCAGGACATCACTGAGGGGAGTATGACAGGGACTCACCAGTGGGGCCTGGTGTAGCTGGAGTTTTCCTGCCTGGCCCACAGTCAGGACAAATCT